ATATTTTCTTCATGTGAAGGCATGATCTGACTCGACAATTTTTGACACCCCCCCCCTTTCTAGAATCAAATGGCCGTCCCCTGAAAAAATAATCTCTGTATTCTAGGACTTTGACGTGTCCTTAAAATTATAGGCTAAAAAACTCATATAAATATGAATTTCAAACAATATGTATTTGGGAATTGAATTTATTTGTCTTTTGAATCATACATTAACACTTAAGGTTTGAACACAGCTCAGATGGATTGAAATTGAATTTCAAATTTTTTTCAGTGAAGAAGAAAATAATGTCTTTTGTCATCCTACAAATATTTAATATATTCTTTCTTGTGAGACATAACCATAAATAATCTGATTCGACAAAATTTGCCAGCCGCCCCCCCCCCCCCCAACTTCTAGAATCAAATGGTCTTCCCCCTAAAATAATATACATATAGCTATATCTTCTATAACTTTTGTTTGTCCTCAAAATAGAAAATTGTTATACATTAATTTCAAACTATACGCATTTGGGAACTGAAATTATTTGTCGTTTCGATCATACATTATAACTTTGCGAAAAATAGCTCAGGTGGATTGAAAATGAATTTCGAATTGCAATTTCAATCCACTGTTTTCGCAGACGTCCGTGTCAAATTGTACCCACCCATTTCATTGTATATCATCAAGTGTTTGACTGCGACAGATGGAAATGACGTAAGCTGCATATTTCCTATTTTGCCAGTTAATGTTCGACAGGTTGACAGGTCGACAGGTTGACATTATTTTTACTGTGTATTTCGAAATCATAAAAGTGCAATTGGTTGACACTACTATTACTGTCTTTTTCGAAGTCATATAAGTATATCTGTTGATCAATGTGCTATTATATCTGGTTGACAGGTCGACAGGTTGACACTACTATTACTGTGTATTTCGAAATCATAAAAGTGCAATTGTTAATAAACGTGCTATTATATCTTCTCGACAGGTTGACAGGTAGAAAGGTCGACAGGTTGACATTACTATTACGGTGTATTTCGAAATAATAAAAGTGCAATTGTTAATAAACGTACTATTATATCTGATTGACAAGTCGTCGGGTTGACAGGTCGACAAGTTGACACTTCTATTACTGTGTATTTCGAGGTCATATAAGTACATTTGTCAATAAAAGTGCCATTATATCTGGTTGACAGGTCGACAGGTTGACACTACTATTACTCTGTATTTCGAAGTCATATAAGTACATTTGTTAATATCGTGCTATTTTATCTGGTCCACAGGTCGACAAGTTGATATTATTTTTACTGTGTATTTCGAAATCATAAAAGTGCAATTGGTAATACACGTACTATTATATCTGGTTGACAGGTCAAAGGGTTGACAGTACTATTACTGTATGTGGTTGAAAGGTCGAGAGGTTCACAGGTTGGCAGATGTTGACAGATAGACATATATAGAACTGCGCTTTATACAAATTGTTAAGGTGATTTGGTTGTTTGTTTCTGAAAAATTCACAAAATGTTCTCTGCAAACAGTATTTCAACGTGTGGATGATGTTGACGGCAAATGGCAATCATAAGATCATAGATTGGTAAAAAAATGATACTTGTAGGTAATATTACTTATTACTAATACATTGTATTAGTAATATTAATATTAGTATTAGATTCAGTATTGTAACTAAAAGAACCGATTATTAAGTGGGGCATTTTGGTTTTGAGACATTATTTGAATTATAGAAAATCTGTCGACCTGTCTACCTGTCAACCTGTTGACATGTTTACCTGTCGACCTGTCAACTTGTCGACCTGCCAACCTGTCGACCTCTTGACCTGTCAACCTGTCGACCTGTCGACCTAATATGTACAAATGTGTTGTTATTTTAGATGTATACATAGGTTTTATTTAATGTTTTATCCCTTCAAAACTAAATTTAATCAAAATGTTTGTGAATATTCATTATAAAGTAATTTGCATTTATTGTTTTGTACAAATATTTATATTAGAATATAACCGATATAATTATTATGAATATTTATGATCTTTCACACAAAAATATTTTAATAATTAAACCGATTTACCGCAGATTATCTGGATGGGACTATTTTTGTCTTATTTTGTACTTTATTTTCACTCGTTGTGTTTCCATTTTTTTGCGCGCTTTGCTAAATGAATTTTCTAAAGTTATTGTTAAACCATGGTTTATCTTTTTTCTTTACATTTTAGGTTCGGTAATTTTTTCTTCCGAATGATTTTTCAGCAGCATTGAAAAATGTATCACACATTCTTGACATAACATTATTGATACTTTCTTGATTAAATTATTTGAAGTTATTAAATTTAACAGTTCCTGTTAAATACTTTTTAAAGAAAACTGGTCAGTGGTCTCACGAAAATCGTCTGCTTTGTCGTTCGACCAAAGCGTCACATGTGATTGGTTATATACAGCTATATTTTGCTCGAAAATGCTAAATGAAACATGGTTATGTACGTCGGAATAAATTTGACAAAAATCTAGGATATCAAACTTTCTGAACAATTTGAACATTTCCATACTTGTTAAAACATAATCGACTGTACCAGTATTTTTACAAGTGAGTGCTCCTACATGTCTATCACTACCTACGCGACCATTAGCAATATACACATTATTATTTATACAAAAATCTATCATCTTATATAACCAAAGTTATTATTTGAAAAATCTTGAACAATCCTGTCAAGAGGAATGTTTACATTCTCAAAATAAGTTTCAATATCGTTATTTTCAATTTCAGCCACAGCATTACATTGTTTAACATTTGTTAAGAATTCATCCTTTGTAATAAAATCTTTCAATTTGCCCACTCTGGAGTTAAAATGTCCATAGATGCTTTATACTTTAATTGGTTAAGCTGTTCAAGGGCAGAAGCTGAAAATGTTCAAATGTTAGGGCAACACCGCAAATGGCAATTAATGCGTAATGATAATTGACCAAAAGTAGAGACTACATTTCGCTAATGGGACTCAACTTGAGCTAATAAGGTATTCAAGTTTGACACCAGTGTATGTATTAATAATTGATTTACACTGTCTGACAACAAAGAAATGATTAACATCAAATATAAAATCTAACGTAAATTAGATACAATAAGATTAAGATCTTACAAACGTTAAGATAGCGTTGAACTATGAAAAAATTAGGACATTTACAAAAAAAATAAAACGTAATGTGCTTAAAGAAAATACATATTACATATCTAATACTTTATTTTGATTGACAAAATTTGGTTGTTATTTAACTTTGCCTTTCAGACCTAAGCTCTGCACTCAGTGTGGTATATGAATTTTACAACATTGGTAGAGCTAGGGTTCATTACGTATTTCAATTATGCCGTTTGTTTAATGCCTATGAGTAAAAAAGAAAATTTCTACGAATTGTCTTAATTGTTATGGCTTCGGCCACATCTTTCAGGCACCGGGAGGAAGAAAAAATATGAATAAAATACCGACACGATAGATACTATCAGCAAAATTTATTCGGATTTGTTGTTTCAATGCCGCACAACCACGGACGGATATAGATAGTAAAAGTAACCTAAATTGATTTGGGTGAATTAAAACAAATTTAAAAAAGAAACAACATACATTATTGTTTATAGGTTCCTAAGAGTACAATGCAAGTTCTCCTATTTCAATTTCCAACATCAGAATGTTTACTATCTCCTAGTAGATTCACTTTCATTCTGTTTATTAGTCCACCCTTATATTCATACATTTTGTACGTCTGCCAGTGACGCTTACTGTTAGGTCCCCAGCTAGGATCCGGGAGAACAAGAGCCTTTATTCTCTGAATATGAAAAGAAAAAAATTAAAATAAGCTTTTTAAAAGAAAATGAGGTTGTTATGTCTAGTAAGATTGGATTTCTTATAAAATCAAATATGGCAAACATCACAAACATATATTTTGTACCTTTGACTAGTGCTCTTAGATTCTAGCACTTATTTACTTCCAAGAAGATTACATCACATTTTGATATTTAAAAATGAATATTTATATATAAATTAAATGAATGACACATCGTGAAGTTTGAAAAATCAGGATATACATGTATATATGTATCTGTACTGCATGGTTTTGTTAATGTAAATTCAAAGATATTAAGCCTACAGATAATTAATCTAAGAAAAGTGTCCATTATTACGGACTTTGGATTCCATGTTACCTGAATGAGTGAACCTTTTGTTCGCAGGATTTCCTAAATCATCAGTACTGGTATTGGTAACAGAGGGAGTATGGCCAAAAACTGACCGATTCCAATGGCGAATTCTGGATACGTATAACTAGCTGAGTTTGGTGGGGCATACATAATCATGGACATCAGAAATAAAACCTTGACAAGGAAGAAAACCCAATAAAAAATATATAAGTACTAATAAAGTCATAGTAAACCTACTAACCGTAAGTTTTTCGTAAAAAATCACAAAGAAATCTGAAAAAAAATTCTAAAATCTTCGTACAAATGATTACTTCTATTCAATATGTGTCCAGATATTTCATGAAATTCCACAAACTTGACCATTCCAAGTCAGGATTCAAATGCTTTGCTATGTCTTAAGTATAGTTTAAGATCTTAACTTGACAGAATATAAAAAAAATATCGGTTTTAATGTGTAACACAGCTGCTAGATATTTCCCAGGGGGTAACGTAACAAGAGAACAGGGAGTTAAAACAGTAGGTTACAGCTCTGCTTTTCTCTCTAACAAATGAATATGACATGATGCTATTCCACTTGCAAACATTACAAAAGTACACAAGCAAATATAGAGGGAGTCCGTCATCTATGCTCTCTTATAATTTGTGTTGCATTGGACATGAATAACGTAGATAATTCATAAAATTTTGTCATCTGGCAAGTTTTTTCCCCACAACAATTCATTTTTTTTTTTGCTGATCTCTGTTAAGTAAATATATTAAAAGCCATGTTAATTATTACCATCATGAAAAAAGGGGTGATAATGCACCAGCTTATCCTCAGGCGAGGGGGATAGGTCTTCCTATCATCAGCTCTACATCTCGACTGAATCGTTCAGCTCCTGATAAATCATGTAATTATTCGCTAGTTGTTAATGATAGCAAGAATTTTTTTTTTTTTTTTTTTTTTTTTTTTTTTTTTTTTTACAGTAAACTCCTTTTTAAAAAGATTTTGTATTCATGTTATACTTACCATAAATCCATGATATAATGATACATTCTAGGAATGATGAAAATGAGATACAGAAAGTGGCAACGTACCAGTCTACTAACTGGAAGACATATATACCTCCCTACAGAAAAGATAAAGAGGGGTTACAGAAATTGGCAACATAACAGTCTATTTATTGGAAGACATATATACCTCCTTAAAGAAATGAAACAGAGGGATAATTACTGAGAGATACTATTATATTTAACATATATATTTTGCAAATTTCAAATAGGCTCAAGATATATATTTTCTAAAGTATAAAAAAAACACTTGTGCTTGTATCCCAATCAGCATTTGAATCAATGAATCCTAATCAAAAAGTGAAGATATGCAAGTAGAAGTGCAAACAAACTTGTTTGACTGTTTAAAACTTACATTAGTTGTGTATGGAATTCCTAAGACAAAGAGAAAAAGGCACAAAATGGCCGTGGTCAAGATTTTCCGAGAGCTCAACTGCTTGGGATATTTGTCTGCTAGACCACTTGCAACCGTCTCAAACATTCCAAACTGAAATTGATTTAACAATTCGTATATCTCCATCAACTTGCTTTTGGGCAAAAAAAAAAAAAACATTTTGCGAATATTTATTCCACTCGAGATTTTTGTATAAGAAATAACCCCTAATAAGATCGTGATCTGTGGATTCAGTAAACATTCTGTTCAGTCACCTGGGTGTCAACTCCAACAGTTATCAACATGAGGAAAAACAGGATCCCCCACAGATGTGGCATCGGAAGTTTCGTAATAACTTCTGGATACGCCACAAATACTAGTCCAGGTCCTGAATAGAGAACGAAATATTTATTAATCTGTATAGGGAAGTCATTAAAGATCATTGCTTTGCTGAAAACTCTACTTTTCTAAACCCACCTGTTGAAAAGTTTGAAATTTCTTCCATTGTCATTCCAACGTCTTTGGCCATAAAACCTAAGATGGAGAAGACAACAAATCCAGCGTAGAAACGTGTCAGACCATCGGCCAAAGTACCACACCAAGCGTTCCTAATGAAGAACGGTAAATAAACAAAGTAATAACATATTAGTCCTATTGTAAGAAAATTGTAATATAATTAATGTGGAAATATAGACCTTTTGTATTTTTCTTTAAGTTTTACCCCTTAGTAAGTAATCTGTGATAAATAAATGGTTCTTATTTAAAAATAGTCCTCCTTTGAAAATAAAGTCCTACTGTGTTAAAAGAGCACATGCAATATCATATTTAATGTATTTCAGATTGATTTAAGTTCGTAAACTGTAACACAGATTACTTACTGAATGCACTTGTTGTTAAACTTATTGTAACTTGACATTGTGATGAGTCCTCCCCAAGCAGGACCAAGAGAATAGAAAACCTGCAGACCTGCTTCTAGCCCCACCTGAATATAAATACGTTTGAAAAGACATATTTTACATTTACGTACATACCTTGTCTTTTCTATTAATTAAAGAATGATTTTAAAACCTTCATAAAAGTGTTTTATCTAATTAAATGTTCTCCTTTATTGAATTAAGATATATATTTCTTACTTGAAAATGTAGAAGTTTTGTAAAGTCTGGGCTTAGGTAGAAAAGTATCCCATCAATTGCACCATCCAGAGTCACACCACGTATTAAGAGAATTGTCAATAGTATATACGGAAAAATAACCGTCACATACACAACCTATGTGTAAAAATCAGGATTTTCTCCAATCAATATCTTGATAAAATTTTGAACTCATTATTCACTATTTTAAACTGATGATTTTTCTCTGATAATAACTTTCATATTACAATCAAAAGAAAACCAAAAAAAAAAAAAAAAAAAAAATACAAAAAATTGGAAGCATCTTAATACAAGTCGAACTCACCTTTCCAACTGAATGTATACTTTTAATAAGGCATGTAAATGTCAATATCCAGGAAGCAAGCAGAACCAAAACGAGATACCACTGAACGGAACCCGGATACTCAATGCCATCTGATCGTCTAAGAACATTATATCTACAATTAAATGGTTCGAGAAATGTGAATAACAAGAAAATGATTGAAAACCGTAGTGGTTGGAGAAAAGGTCTTCCAACAATCTGCTGGAATTTCGATGGACACTAACTATACTCCTTAATTAGATGACCTGTTTTATATCTTTACGAAGCAGAGTTAGTTCTAAAACATCTACATTAGAAAAACAAAACTATTTGTTTTTGCCTTCAATTTGGCGATTTGATATATCGACGATGTTATATCAATTAATCATATTCATTTTATGGATTTGTCGATTCGATATTTCCCAGTAAATTCGAAATAAAATACACTACAGTCTATCACATTTGCATGTTTTTCTGACTACAAATGCTTATGAAAAACCAACAACTACACTATACGTGATGATTTCAGCTTTTCCATCGTCAACTTCTATTTATGCAGTAATATTCCAAAATAACCTACACATGGTGTTTATATATCTCAACATATTCGGTACGTAACAGCATGTTCCGAGTAAACAGGCTTCTGACAACAGGGCTTTCATAAGTCTTGTTTAAAGTTAGATTTCGAAAATTCTGTGGTCTTTATGAATAGAACCTGTCCTTGGGTGGAATTTGATATATGTCATACCAATTGTTAAACCGTTTTTATACTATTTTTGACTACAATACTCCGTTTACCTGGTCAATAGGGAAGGCTCACGGTGGACATGAAAGGGTGCTTGTTCCTCGAAGGCACCTGATCTTCTTTTTTTTTTTTTTTTAGGAATTCGTGTCTTTCCCCTTTATCGAATCGTATCGCTCATTAAATTCGATTTTCTTATCATTTTGATTGGGAAAAAATATTTTATCATAATGTCTCATTTGTGACACATTTCACTCACATCCATCATACTACTAAAATAAAATTAGTAGGAAAACTGATTGATGTCTGCCTATCCATCTGCATGTCTCCAAGTGTTCTGTAATTAGTATGGGGTAAATGTAAGATCTTAATTAGATGATTAGGATTACTTATTTCATTGTTGTATTATTCGAGTCAAATGTAATTTATCTCTAGAGAAGGAAATATAATGATACTTTTTTTATATGGAAAATTAATATTTGGCTGGATTTCGAAAGAAAATTCTGTCTATAAATCAATATAGTCTGCTTGTCCGTCTGTGTCCACAGTTTTGTTTACTGTTTTATTTAGCCCCATTATTGTTGATCAAGTACAAGTATACAAAATATTACATCTTCATAAATAGTTAAATCAGAGTGAAATACATTAAATGAAACCATCAGGGATGACCTTGACTTGATATTTGACAGAGACACTTGATATTTACACATCTTTATATCATTTGTGGACGCCTTTTTCTGATAATCATATTGCAGCTTTAAACAGGTCGTCAGGGCAAAATGCGTTTAATTACACTTGTTTTCAAGGGCGGATCAAGAAAGGGGGTTCATGGGATGCGCCCCTTTTATTTTGCTGATATGAGATCAACAAAAGAATTCATACAAATATTACTGAAGAGGAAGTCTTAAAACTGTTCTCACGTCTCCCAAGGATGTTGTTACGTATACTGGCAAGAGGGTATAAATGGGATGTGGTGGGTTCTGAAAACTGCCCAAACGATCATGTGGTGGACCCCCTACCTTTTACAGGTTCTATTTTTAACATATTGGCATGTGGCCGGGACTACTTCCATAATAACATACAACATTTTATTATTAAATTGATAAGTATGCTTCTAAAGAATTGTACCTATTACAGTTAGCTTATATTTAAACTATAGGTCTTCCACAATTAAAGTTATAGCCATTTAATGGATTGAGGTGAAAAAGGTTACGATAACGAACAGTGATCGATCTAAAAAAATCTACAAACAATTCAAATCTGTGAACAGGGCATAAAACACGGATCCCCGTAAATTTCAGAAGTAGGATCATGTGCCTAGGAGAAGTAAGTTTTCCACGTCGACCGGTCACATCCGCCGTGAGCCTTATGTATTGATCAGGTAGACGTAATAATCCTTAGTCAAATTTAAAAACGAAGACCTAGCCATTTGTATGAAGCATGTCAGCAAAAAATACGACCTAATGATCGTTATATTTGCTAACAAGCTCATTAAAACGACCGCAGAATTTACCAAATGCTGACTTTCAACGAGGTTGTTGAAATTCCTGTCACATCAACTTATCTGCCTCGGTTTAAAAATTGATTGTACTCGAATAAGCTGGTAGACGTAAACACCATATACATGTGATAGCGAAATATAATTACAAGATTAAGGAAAGTTAATGATGGAAAAGCTAAAGTCATCTCGTTTGTCATACAATTAATTGTTAGTTGGCCCTTATCGTCTATAGTCAGTAAAACATCCTAATATTGAACAGGTGTGGCAGACTTTGTGGTACCTTTTATTTCGAGTTCACTGGGATATATCGATTGGACATACGAATGGAAGGAACTTTTGTTAATTGAAAAAAAAAATTCGATATATCGAATATATCAGATATATCTGAATGTGGAGTTGAAGGCCACAGCAAGTGCTTTCCTCTTCTCATGTAGGAGTTTTTAAATAAATTCTTCTTCATATTAAACCGACTGGCTAATAAAGGACCAACAATTAGTGCCCGTCGCAATTTCCAACAGTTTGTTGGAAGACCTGGCCCTGGAATCATGAAGCATCTTAAGCTTAGGTCAAAAAATGTATATTGTGTTGAAGGTATTTAGAAATTAAGAAGTCCAAAATGAAAATGCTTTCCAAAACTGCATCATCAATCTACTGTCATATGAAAATTAAGAGTTTCGTTTAACAAGTTTTAAACATTTTATAGATGATTGAAATTTTGACTTAAGTCTAAGTCTGTTTCATAATCCTGGGGCCTGGTTTCCGAAGACTATATATATATATATATATATATATATATATATATATATATATATATATATATATATATATATATATATATATATATATATATATATATATATAGTCTTCGGAAACCAGGCCCCATATATATTATATTATATATATATATATATAATATATGTGACCCATATATATATATATATATATATATATATATATATATATATATATATATATATATATATATATATATATATATATATATATATATATATATATATATATATACACATATATATACATATATATATATATATATATATATATATATATATATATATATATATATATATATATATATATATATATATATATATATATATATATATATATATATATATATATATATACATATAATATATATGTGACCCATAACCCACGAAACAGAAATATCCTTATGGACGCTAAAAGATTCTACCCAATTTTAGAACAATCGGAAAATATGAAAAGTTTAACACAACCAAATGATATTATCAATAGTCGACGACAGGCACCCAATCTTAAAAAATTGTTAACCAAGGCCCGTTTTACTACACAGGAGGAAATTCTAACCATTAAAAAATGCGGAGATCCAAGATGCGGAACGTGTACATATTTAGAAGAGGGAAATAGAATCCAACTTAAATCAGGAATGGAAATTAGAACCAATTCACCAATGAACTGTAAATCCGAAAACGTTATCTACTGTGCAATCTGTTCGACGTGCAAAGAATTCTATATTGGACAAACGGGAAAACTAAATGCCCGGGTTCGTGTACAGAAACAACAAATTAAAGACCCTAGTGTGCGTAATACACCATGTTGTGAACGTTTTGCAAAATGCGGCAAAGGAATATTTAAGATTTTCCCTTTTTATAAACTTCCCAATGAAAATGAAAATCTACGTTTGGCCAAAGAGGACTACTTTATCAAACTCTTTAAACCAAAGCTTAATCGAAAATGATGCATTATTATATAACATATTGTAAGATTTTACGCATATTATGTGTTCAAGTTAATGCAATATTTGTACATTATCTAATACGGCAACTTTACGCTACCTTGATCTATTATGACGTCACAATGAACTTTTGCTTTTGGACGTTACCAGGTAACCTACCTGACATTTGTATAACTGCCTGAAGAGCCTAACATGGCGATTTCAAGCGCTTGCAGAAAATATTTTGTGATTTTTTGGATTTCTATTTTTAATACACCCAGCAAAACTGTACCGGTTCTTCATTTTATTTTTGAAATTATATATATATATATATATATATATATATATATATATATATATATATATATATATATATATATATATATATATATATATATATATATATATATATTGACTGCACAGTCCTGGTAGAGGACATGCAATATTTTGTAGCTGCAAAATACTGCAATCGACTTTTAAGCTGCAAATATCTCAAGATGGGTTACATAGAGAAGATGGCATAGACTAGTCATCTAGGTCAGCAAGATGCATTTACAAAAATGTTGGATTTTTTGTTAAATTTTCGTTGAGACTCACATGTTGTACACAAAATTGAAATGAGAACATTTTTGGTTCTACCGCCATATAATATGCGTTTTGATATCAACTCGCATTAATACTAACATTAATATTAAACACAATCGTGAACATACTTCCAAAATTAATATGCTGCCGTATTATATGTTAAATTCTGACCACCATACGTCGTGTTGTCTGTTAAATTCTGACCAACATAGGAAGTATTGAAAGTGGAAAGGAATTCAGTTTCATTGAAAGTAACCGCTGTTGTGGATTGGTTCGTTGTTGTAAAAGAATTGTTTATTCGTAGTCTATCTTTGTTGCTGACGATGCATTGCTCTGTGTTCCACCAATTATCACACGTAGCCCATGGGATCTTGGGGAAGAAATCATGGACAAAATAATAGAGAACCCAAGCAATGACTAAGCTGAAGTACCAGGCCACCAGAAAGGAGATCGTCATCATCAGCCATCCAAGGCCTGAAACACAAAGTCTCAAACTTTCCTTTATAATATCTTAACAATGATTTGCTTTTTACCCCGTTTAAGAAATCTACTTGGAATTTAATTCTTATCTCCATCTTTTGGTAAAAAAAATGACGGTAGGGTCCTTCGTTCTTAGAAGGCCTTAAAATTGATCATAAACATTCTTCAAGGGAAACACTGGTATTACGAAAAAGCTGTGATATAGTCAAAGAACAATGAAAAACTCTGTGGTACATTTGTTTATTTTAAAGGTCAATTTTTTGATTTTTTGTTACATTCAATATGATTCTATGATATTATTTTATATAAAGTACTATCAATTTTCCTCAATATCGAAGAAAACAAGACAGACACTATATGTATTGATAGGAAAATTTACTGTATAAAAAATGAAATTTAGAACACTCCCACATAGGAGATATTAATAGTAAAGTTTCCCGACCTTTCTTCAGAATATAATTTCTCACTAAAAAACAGGTCATCGTTCTTGAACACAATCAAATTAATTTCATTAGAATGCTTTAAGCATTGGCAGATAGATGCTGAGTAATATTTAAACATGAACTTGTGGATCTGTTGAATTGAAACAAAAAATGCAACAATACCTTTGAATAAGGGAGAAATGGACCATACTACAAGGGGGCTTTTTCCAGTAAACTGACCAAGAGAAACTTCCAAGAAGTAAAGAGGAACTCCACTGGTGAACAGCAAGATAAAAAACGAAACCAAAAAGGCACCTGAAATTTACAAATTGTATTATTTTACCGATTTTCATTTATGTTTTCTGTTTATTATTTTTTTTAGTTCTTTAGGAGCTTCTTTGTACGCCATTTCGTCATTTTACGCGTCATCAACGATTTGCATTTTAAAAATTGTAATAGCTTCACTACTAATTAAGCATGAAACATTCGTATTAATACTTTAAAACTAGCAACTCTTACAATCTCCCAGTTTTCGCAGAATTTATCGGAAAATATATCGGGTCGATCAATCTTAAAAACGGGAAGGCAGAGATTATTCAACCCGATATATTTCTGTACACAGTCAGTAACAAACCTAATAAGTGATTTATTTTCTTGAGGATCATAGTGGAGAGATATAATGATAAAGACAAGGCACGCCCGTAGCAACCTTTATCAAAAAGGGAAGGGAGGCACCCCCCAACTCCAAAAAACGACAAAAGGGGGGATATTAATCGTCAAAACTCGGGAGTGGGTAAATTCTTCCTGTAAATTTTTGACAATTTTCTATGCAATAATGTTAACATGGCAAACTTCAACCTCTCTGTAACAAAAATAGGAGTTAGAGGTTGTACGACATTTGAATGATGTACGTGTATAATCTACAGCAAAAAACGAATTTTTAAACAGTGGAAGGTTACCCCGACCCATAGTACTATGGGAAGTGATGATCAAGGTGACTGAATTCAGCATAAATATTTTAATTCTGTTTAAGTGTCCCAAGATCCTGGCTAGCCTATCGAGTCTCGTTTACTTTCACACAGTCAAATTCTTTAAAATTATTAACCTTACCTTTTACCGTCATAAATCAATGAAAGTGCAACGTTTCAATCCGATAGAAAATAAGTGTATACGTTTGGTTTTATATAACAAAACAGATTTAAAAAGTGGTTCTTCATCAGGAACAACAAGATGTAGGTTAGGTGCAGAATTACATTCATATATCAGACTAGCCATCTGTAGATGGACCATATGTGTAAATGTATTTTGGATACCAATTGTAGAAAAAGACGATAACTTAAGCAAAGTCAGTATATAGCAAAAGTTGCAGGTCAGATGGAGCATTTACAGCATGTTTCAAACTACGTACAGCTAGTTGCGCCAAGACTGCATCCCTGGAAATAAGCCGAACACTGACCATAACCTCCCTTCGATGTCTTACAGACGGACAGACAAGGTGATTCCATTATTTCATTAAACTTTTTGCAGAGGTAAATTAAAATTTTTGCCCTGTCTGTCTGTCTGTTTATCTGTTTGTCCGCAAAAACTTTAACATTGCTCATAACTTTTGATTGGTTGGAGCTATCACTTTCATATTTCACATATGTATTCCTTGTGACAAGACTTTCCTTTGGGTACTAACATATCTGACCTCTTGACCTTGGAGTTTGACCCACTTTTGCAGAAAATTACCCAACTTTAACCTTGGCCATAACTTTTGAACAGTTGGTGCTAGGGCTTTCATATCTGACATGTATATTCATTGTGACAAGAACTTTCCATGGGTTTAAATATTTTTGACCTTGATCTTAAAGCTTGACCAACTTTTAAAAAACTTTAACCTTGGCCATAACTTTTGAACAGTTAGTACAAGGGCTTTCAAATTTCAAAGGTATGTTCCTTGTGACAAGACCTTCCTTGGATACCCACAATTTTACCTTTTGACCTTGACCTTGGAGTTTGACGTACTTTTGAAAAACTTTATTATTTGCCATAACTTTTGAACAGTTGGTGCTAAGACTTTTATATTTTGTATCTGTATTTCTTATTACAAGGTCATCTCCTGCGTACCATTAATTTTGACCTTTTGACCTTGGAGTTTGACCCACTTATAGAAAACATTATCTTTGACCATAACTTTTGAATGGTGGTGCTTGGGCTTTCATATTTACCAGGTATATCCATTAATGCAAGTCCTTTCTTTGAGAAATAATTTTTGATCTCTTGAACCTTGTCCTTGACTTTTGAGAAACTTTAACTTACGCCATAAGCTGTCATATGGGGGCATCAGTGTTTCACAAACACATTTTTTTTTTTTCAGAAAATACTCCAGGGGTAATGCTTTTCTAAAAATAATTAAATAAAATGAAAAATGGACTGGCAAAGTTTATTTTCTTACATTACTGTCATTGAAATTGGGTAGTAATTCTGAAAATGACTGCAAAACAAAGAGCAAGAATCATTCCAAATGAAATGAAACACCAAGGCAAATTTATAATTCAGAAATTTTTTATTCGGAAAAAAGTTCAGTTCAAAGCTTAAGTTTACAATTTGATGACCTAATTAACGGACCAAATTCATGCAGCGTTAAACCTTGTTGCGACGTGTATATTTTTTAGGGATGTCAACGAATATTCGAGTACTCGACTATAGTTCGATCAAACCGACTATCGACTAAAATTTCTTTGTTCGGTTATTCGTTAAAAATGTGTTACCTAATAGTAATTTTTAATTCAAGGTAATAAACTTGGATTCGTCCATTTCATTTATATTCAGATCAATGTTCTCGTAAGTAAACTCGGGTATGGTTTAACTGCTAAAAGGAAATTATCTGTATGTCGATTTATGTTCGGCAAATATGCCTCCAAAATATACAGTTTTGGTATACTTTAAAAGATGTCATGATGGAAAAAAAGTTAAAATTACGTTATCAAGGTTATGTGAAACTGAACTTGTACTCTGCAGTGGAACATCAAATATGATATATCATATACCGAATCCGTCAAACATACATGTAGTAAATACAGTTTTTAAGTGAGACTTTTCTTAAGTAAGTGCTCCGCAAACATGCCAAAAAAGCAGAGCCGGAAAGAAAAATGTTGCTATCACAAACATGGTTATCAAGGATTGTCTACCCCTTATTGTTGCAAATGGAGAGGATGTTCAAGAATTGTTTGGTTTTGTAGATTCAAATTATAAAGTTTCAACCTGCAATTCCATAAGATCTGACTTAATGCAACTATTTATAAAAATAATTAAACAGCTGTTACAAAATTGTAAATACATGTAAATTCGGGGACAGTTATGAGCGTAATTATTAATTAATTTAATGGTGTTTCTTTTTAATATTAATATCATGCAGTCATTTCAAGATTGTATTGATTATTTGTACAAAATCTCTTAATTGAAATTTATCGCAAGCTCTCTCTGTTTTTAAAACAGGCACACTTCAATTGTTTACCAGTCAAAGGTCACTGACACGATACGTAGAAATGGTTTCAATTAACGGGTATGTATGTACAAAATGTAATATCGTTATGAAAAGAAAGGACAAATGCGAGCGTTCGATATCCTGCATTTGATAAAATGTGCAGTAAATATTACATTAATTTTAAAATCAAATACATTGGATAAATTTAGAGGTACAGTATTTATTGTACTACGTAAATGTTTACGATTTAGAAATTCGT